GATAAAACCAGACACGTAGTCACTCCTGTTCTAAGTCTCTTTTAAGCAGCCTGCTCAATTTGCCAATTTAATTACCCATTCCCAAATCAAACGAGTACTTTTCTGTTTTTTTTTAACACATGTATTTTATTTTGTTTTCACTCATTCGCACAATACTCCGAAAGAAATGTATGATAGATCAAATCCTTAGCATTTTGAATCAGCTCCTTATTTGTAGAGAATATTTTGTTGTCTAGGCTTTGGGATTAATTTTATTTTTACCTAAGATGACGCAAAATTTTAAACATGTGCAACGTAAATAATCTCCCCTCACCCAGAGGAACGATCACTTAACCAGTTTGCCATTAAAAGTTAAGATCATTGGCCAATGGTAAAAATTAAAAAATCAAACCATAAAAGAAGTAAATTTACAAAAAAAAGTTTTTCACCACATTTTTTCACACTAAATATCATATTTTTTAATACAAAAAGGAAGTGTTAAGCCGCAGAGTTCAAACCATTATTACCTTCCAAGTGACAAATCAGTGTTACTAATAGCTCATGTAATTTGGTGTCGAGCTGTGATCTAGATTCGAGATGCGTGAAGATCAGCAAATCGCGTTGGAACACTGAGCAATGGACATGTCATGGACACTGAAAGTCTCCAGAACAGGTGCTCAGTCCCAACGTGGCAAATTATATACAAGGCTCTCGTAGTATCCAAAGATAATTGTCCAGGAGATTAATTCTGAAAGAAATACCTTTTGACTTCTCTTGATCGTTCAATATTGTTTAAATTGAGAAAAACGCGAAAGATATTTTTTCTGCCCCATAGCCTCCCAAAATTTAATTTCTCATTTCTGCTGTTAAGTTTCTATCAAAAACTAGTATTTTAATATGCAAGTACCTATAATGTAATTTATCATTGTTGACTCATAACTTCTAAATTCTCTTCTTAATAACTTTAAATTTGGGCACCTGCCTTTACCTCACCTCTACTGAGACAAAAAGGTGGCAGGTCTGAGCCTTCCAACAGGGCCTTTTCCTTCATATCTAATAAGCACTTGACTGTTGCTGGAGATGATATATAAATGTTTGAATAGTGCCCTTAAACACCTCTGGTCTTTCCAACTCAAATGGCTCTCTTCTGCCAGAGGTCATTCTGTGGTGTATCTAGTGTTGTCTCTTGCATTACAATAGCAAATTCAACAAATCTTAATCCTCCCAACCCAATGTCCCACAGCTTGAACTTCCAAGACAAAACAGAGGGCCCAGGGGAAATCCATTAATTCCCCTGTCGTCACCTATAAATCTATACATTATCATATACTTTCTTATGATTTTTTTCAGGTCTCAATAGAGGAAGTGAACCTCTATTTGTCAAGGCAAATTCTATAAATATTTAGGGTCAAGAAAAATCTCATGCATACTTCAAGTACGAGCAGGTGATATGAATGCTGAGTGGATCAGTATAAGAAAAACAATTGCAGAAAATGCAATGATGAACGTCAACAAACATTAGCGTAAGGGTCTATATGCAGTAAATAAAGAGTGTGCCACATTTTACTGCCACATGCCACATCTGAAAAAAAACAACGCTGAGCTCGAGTTTGACAAGTCTTCATGCATTGTAGGCCCCATGATGTGCAAAGATTTTGAATCTGCAATAGAATCTAGATTTTTATGAAAGCTTCATTTTTAAAAAAGTAGTCTATATAAAATAGTTCATTAGAAGGTGCAGCTAGACAATATATTACAAGTGAGACACACTTGATCAAGAAGAACGAAGAAACATTCAGAAACTCCAATTCATTCCATATACACTTAAACCGTGCCCTTAGACCCATTTATTATGATTTTTTTGAACTATATATAAACAAGAATCATACAAGCATTTTCTTTTGTTGCTAATATTAGCAAATGTTATCTTTTGTAGATCATTTATGGGTTTGCACGTACCCAAGTACGAGCACTGTATTTTACTGCTGTACTATTGTTATTGTCATTGAATTAAATATGCCACAGACCTTAAGTATTTTATATATGCAAGTACCTATAATTAATTTATCATGTTGACTCATAACTTTAAATTCTCTTCTTAATAACTTTAAATTTTGGGGCACCTTGCCTTTACCTCACCTCTACTGAGACAAAAATGGCAGGTCTGGAGCCTTCCAACAGGGCCTTTTCCTTCATATCTAATAGGCACTTGACTGTTGCTGGAGATGGATATATAAATGTTTTGAATAGTGCCCTTAAACACCTCTGGTCTTTCTCAACTTCAAATGGGCTCTCTTCTGCCCAGAGGTCATTCTGTGGTGGTAATCTAGTGTTTGTCCTCTTGCATACAATACAAATTCCAACAAATCTTAA